TCGTCTCCTATCATGAGACTCACAAGAGCCCAGTGGTCTGGCCTTCCAACTCTGATGAGTTCTCATCCCCTCTGTGCAATTCGTATGACCAGAAGATCCAGCTCAAAGATCCTTAGAGGAGACCACAGTTATTTACACAGCTTCCCAGCTGAAGGACTGCTGGGAAGCCCTGTGCCAGCCTAGTCTCAAAGCCCAGATGGTGGCCATTGAAATCCAGAGATGACCTGCAGTAAGCCTTCCAGGGCCCCCACCAGCATACCTGGCTCATACAGTGATTCAGGTTACCTATGAACCTCTGACTGAGCCTGTTAAGACTCACCTGCATGTTAGGATGAGAGTCTGGTCTGCCATGTAAGAGAAGTGGCCTCAGCGTATTTCTGGAGATCTTTTAAAAAGACATGGCTAGGGACGGCGAGATGGCTCAGTGGGTGAAAGTGCTTGCCACACAAACCTCAAGACTGGAAATCCCCAGAACCCATAGTGAAATGAGAGAACTGACTCCTGAGGCTGGACACATCCTCACATACACATACACACACAATAATAAATAAAAATTTCAAACATGGGGGTTGCTGGAGAGATGGCTCAGCAGTTAAAGGTACAGCCTGCTCTTCTAGAGGACCTGGGTTAGGGTTCTAGCACCTATATGGTAGCTAGCAGCTGTTCACAACTCCAGTTCTAAGGGGATCCAGTGCCCTCTTCTGGCTTCCATGGGCACTGCACACACTGGCACACTTACATATAGGCAAAACACACATATACATAAAAAAATAAATAAAACATTTTTTAAAAATTAAAGGCTTGGATAATTTCTCTCTCTCTTTCTCTCTCTCTCTCTCTCTCTCTCTCTCTCTCTCTATCTCTCTTTTAGCTCTCTGGGGTCACACTGCTTTAGATACCTACCCATATGCCTCCAATGTGTTGGCTATCAATAGGTCTTTAAGTGACACCTTAATATGTTTTTAAGACAAGGGGAACCAATGACAGTTCCTGAGTAGCTGTGTTTATGTTGGACTGGCCTGCCCAAGTACTATCCCAGGAGTTTTGCACATGACAGGAATTAGAGGCAAAATCAGGAGAGCTCAGGGCAGAGGAGGTAACTGACCTGGAGCACGGGAAAGCCAGGTGGGATGAGATATGGAGATGTGTGGAGAAAGATGCCTATTTGAAACTGGCCATGCACTTAGATGTCCCATTGCTTAGTACTCCTTGGGTGTTGTGTTGAGAAGTGAAAAGCAGAACTCTTTGGAGCCAGGCTATTGACACATGAAGAGTGAGCACACTCTCAGATCTCTTTGTCCTGGTCTAGTCCTTTCCAAATTCCTACAAAGGATTCTTGGCCATCAAGGGGTCCTTCCAGAGCCTAGCAGGCTTCTGGACACATTTTTAGCAACCTTTGGTCAGGATCCTGACCACTCTGGGCCTCAGTTTCATTATCTAAACAACTCCAAGTTTCCCTTCCAGTTCCAAATTCTGTACCTCCAGGTGACTGGCCATCCAGTTTCAGAAGGAGATACTCAGTTCTACATAAACAGACTCTGTATGTGTTGGGTGAGAATGAAAGCAAGATCCTTGGTCTCTGTCCCAGCTTAGCAAGGGGAGAAACTGACTTAGGTGTAGCTGAAGGCAAGTTGGTTTTTACATGGTGCAGTCAGAAATCAAAGCACGTTCTTTTAGTACCCACACACTATCAAAATGTACCGTCACCACCAAGCATGCTAGTTGCTGATTTTATGTGATTGTGTGTGTGCAGCATATATGCATGTTCACATGTGTGTAGGTGCACATGTGCGTGCATGCCTGTGGAGGCCAAAGGTCAACCTCAGGTGTTGTTCCTCAGGAGCCATCCATTTTATCTTTTGAGACCAGGTTTCTCATTTGGATCCTGGGACTTGCCAACAGGTCTAGACTGGCTGGACAGTGAGTCCCAGGGGTTTATCTGTCTTCTTCTCCCCAGCACTGGTATTAAATATGCATACCACCATGCCAGGCTTTTTACGTGGCTCCTCAAACTCAGGTCCTCATGTTCATGCAGCAAGTACTTTACTAAGTTAGCTCCTCAGCTCCACTAGTGGCTGATTTTTAACTGGGTACTTATATGCTAAGCCTTTGATAAACATCATCTTAACTAATTATCACAGTGACCTTGAGAATTTGGTGTCTCTACTGCCTCTTCAGTTTTCAGATAAGATGAGGATACCAACTCAGAAGTTAATTAACTTGCCCAAGAACACATAGTAAATGGTAGAGTCGGGATTTGTACTCATATCTAAAGCCAAAGCCTGTGGCAATGAGCAGAATTCTTAATAAGCAACAGAAGAACAAATCTATTTTATTGGTTGGTTCCACCAAGAGGTATGACATTTGGCATTCTAGGTTATTTGTCACCAAGGAATGTTGGCAGTATTACCATGCTCAGGAACCTGTCTGTGTTGGAGATTCTTCACTTTCCCAGGAGAAAAGCAAAGGATGGCTTAAGAGCAGCCAGTGGGTGCATTTGACTCAACACAGGTGAGAGACGGTTGGGAACTACTCCCCAGGTCTGTGTCTGGGGCATGCACAATCACATTAAGGGAGGCCATCCATCTGTCTAGGCTCAGTAGGATGATCTTTAAGGCCACTCCAGTTTTGGATTTTATGTTTTCTTTTCAAGACCTTTTTTGACTTTCCAGCTGCTGGGAATTCCCACTTCCCTCAGCCCTTGGGAGACAGGGCAGTGGGGAAACCATGTAACCCTTGTTAAGACATTTCACCTTTTGTGACTAGGTCCTTTACAGATCCAGGAGTCTGAAATTGCTTCAGAATGTCTAAGTGTGATTATGTACCCTGAAGCCAAATGTTATAAAAACCCTCAATGGTTGCAGATTTTAAAAGTAAATATACAATTAAATTTTTTCAGCATGTTGTTGATAAGACACAGTACACTTAGTCATTATTGCACTGTTTAGCAAGGCCAACTTCTTCTAGATTCAATTCCCTTTCTTCCATTCTTTGTATTGAAGACATGGCTTAATCCATTGCTCTATGATCTTTCCCGATGTTTGAAATTCCAAGAGGTAAAAAATATCCACCCTTTCATCTTGACCCACTGCATTCTTTCTCTAAGCCTGCAATTGGAGCTAAATGGAAAATAAACCCTTTGAGAGCCAAAGAAGTTGGCACTATATGGTGATGTGAAGGAGAACATGTTCCACCTCTAATCCAGATAATCATACCCTCCTATGCAAACAAGGCTTTCACCAAGAGGTCCAGGCTTCTAATGAGAAGGGGGCCTCTATAGAGTTGTCGAATATCCCATGCTGTTAACCAGCTTATAGTTCTCCAAACCTTTTAACTTTCCTGATGACAGTGAAGTGCTGTCAGCATCCCTGAATTTTGTTACTTTCACTAAATTTGGAGGTGACGGTTCAAACACATATGCATTACAGTGCTATAAGTCAGAAAAGAATACTGCATGCAATGTGCCATAGGCAACCGTGCTGGGCTTGGCCACCAGCTACTCTGCACTTTCTTCATCGTTTTTTGAATCTGGCTGTGTGTATGTGGTGTGGGTGCTAGGTTAGAACAGAGATGGGCAAGAAAGAGGTCTGCCCACAAGCAGTTGAAATGCACAGAGCAGGAAGAGCAGAGCTGCACTTAGGTAGTGGCCAACAGCTCCCGGGGTCTCAGTGTTCTGGGAATTCTGGAGGAGACACACTGGATTCAGCAAATAGTCTGGCAAGTGCATCAGGGCATGGTACATTCCAGGGAGATGCCCGGATTAAATCTAATTTGGCACAACATGCAGAAGGATGGGCTTGGGGAGGGGGTGGAGGAAGGAGGTCTGGGACAGGTTCTGTATGGAAGGGCACACTCTTAGATGGGGGATGCTGTGTGTCTAAGCACGTTGGCTTGCATCTCTCCGATATGGTCCTTTTCTCCTTCCCTTCCTTCCTTCCTTCCTTCCTTCCTTCCTTCCTTCCTTCCTTCCTTCCTTCCTTCCCTCCCTCCCTCTCTCTTTCTTTTTTTTTTGCTTCTCATTCTACCTCTCACAGAATGTCTGCAAAAGAGGACTTTGCCCTGCAAGATTAAATGGTCTGAAATCAAAGCTTAATAATTACTGCCTGGGGAGATCAGCCTTCAGTATCACATTTGCCGTTGGAGCTGTTGGGAGAGGGCGGAGTCTATCTTCCCTACATCACAGGTAAGAAAACTGTGGCTCTGGAAGTGGCTTGGTCACTGTTGTACTGCTAAAAATTGCCAGGCCCAGGGTGAGCAACTCAGATGTTCTTGCCAACCTGCTGCTTCCTGGAGTCAGTTTCTGTTTCTCCATCTGGGACATATAGGTTGTCACTGTACCCTTTCTACCCACAAAGTCTTCTAGAAGTCCAGTCTGCCTGCCTTTAGGGTGCATCAGGTAAGCAGGCGGCTGACTTGGAGCTGCAGGCACAGCAGCTGGCCCCTCCAGCAGCAATTTACTCAACCCGTGACCTTCTGGGCTCCAGGCCAGCCCTTCTTGAAAGGGAAATGTGCAGACCCTGGGGACAGAAATTCGTTCCCCAGTGCTAGAATGATTGCTGTTGACTGCCACTGCCCACAGCAGCAAAAGGAGCTGTTATGCGAGCTGGGGAAATTACACAGCCCTAGGAGGATAGAGAAAGGCTATGGAGTCTGTATCACAGGCCCTCAACCTTCACTAAAGTCACATCAGGGGCAGCAAGAAAGGAGAAAGGAGAAGGAGAAGGAATTAAGACTTGTTCCCTAACCACATAAAAGTGCCTTTTTTTTTTTTTTCAAAAAAAGTTTACCTCAATTCAACTTGAATTGACATCACTAAAAAGGAACCTGTGCAAATATTTTGCATAAGAATGGCTTAAAGCCTGGATTTTAGAGTGTGCCTGTCAGCTCAAGTAAGTATTACTACGTTTTCTGTGAGTTTTGTCGATATGATGTTTCCATTTCCGCGCGCAGAAGGGCAGGGGAAATAGGGAAGGAATCGGTCAACTCCTATCTCGGCTCACCTTTTGCACTCCCGGATTGAGGTCCTTAGCCACCTTTGCCATCCTGTGCTGGGATGCAGAAACTGCTTCTGGTTTATGCTTCTCAGGCAGAGGCTGAGCGAGCGCAGCAGGGGCAGCGTTGGCTGAATGGCCAGGTTCAGGTCCGCGCGCCCAGCGGGCAGCTCTGGGCTCAGCCAACAACCGCCGCCTGCTTTAATTGGAGAGCGCGACTCCCTCTAAAACCTCGCCAGCCAATGCGAGCAGGCACCCGCGCCGGTCCAGCCAATCACAGAGCAAGGCTGCGCCCCTCCCTTCGAGTGGCCTCCACAAGGAGGTAGTGAACTTGGCCAGTCTCTGCCCTGACGTCAGGGCAGCCGCTGGGGCCCCTGACGGCCACCTACGGCTCACATCTGTCCCCTTGGTGGCAGGAGGAATCCATCTCCACGCCCTTCTCCTTTAAAGGATTAGGGGCTGGCGGGCAGGACTCCGGCCATCCATTCAGGTCAAAAGGGAGAGTGAGCAAATAGGAAAGTGGAGGTATTTTTAGAGAGCTGACTCCAAAAATAAATGCTGAACAGTGTTCCCCTGCCCACCCTGTCTCCCCTTGTCCCAAGGGTGTGCCAAGCAGGTGGTCTGCAGAAGCCTTGACTCGGGCTGTGTCCAACCTGAGCAAGTCACCAGAGAGGAGAGACTCCAGCAAATTAGGATTTCTTTTAAAAATGCAGTTTTTAAGCTACCTTCTCATAACTCATATCATCCTCTTTATTATGGGAGGAAGAGAATAAAATATTTTATAAAATTATTTTTATAGTGGTGTGTGTGTGTGTGTGTGTGTGTGTGTGTGTGTGTGTGTGTGTGTATGTGTGGTCACAGTGCCTGTGTGGAGTTCAGAGAACAATTTGCTGAAATCAGTTCTCACTTTTCCCATGTGGGTTCCTAGGTTTGGCACCAAGTACCCGACCCTCTGAGCTGTCTCCCTGGCCTGATGATTATTTCTACAAATGCTTTTATGGGCACATTTCTACATTGTACCCTCACAGTTCCATCATTAGTAGTATTAGGACTCTGACTGGAAGATGAGGGGAGAGGGTAAGTGGACCAAAGCTGTCCTGTGCAACAAGACTTTATTTAACCTGACAAAGTGAGGACAGAACTGGCATATGGGGAGAAAGAGCTCAGGATTGCAAATGATACGCTATAGAAATTAGTGATTTTCAGGTAAATTGAGTCTTTCAGGTCTGGACAAGCCAAGAGCTGATCTGATTTTCACCTTCTTGGAATGAAGTGCCTGTGCTACATCTAATATCACTATTCCTGTAATTTCCCCAGGTTTGTTTTGCTGTGCCAGGCTGTTTGCTCATAAGCCCACATCTCTCTGGGAGTCCGGTCCCAGACTTGCATTCCCAAGAGCATTTTCCCCACGTTCCGAAAAAGGATTAAAAACAATTCTCTTTTATCCAGGACAATACTTATTCGTCTGCTGTGAGGTGAGGTAGTCTTCCTATAACCCACATTGGCAGAATCTCCTGCCAGAAACCAGCGCTCTAGTGGGTTAAAGTAAAAATTTGGTTGTAGGGAGACCAAGGATCTGCAGGTCACACTCTGGAACTTTCTTATTGGGGGCTTTTCCATCTAGCTGAGTTCTTAATGCTTCATTTCCCCCAGGAATCTCAGATCTTGACCAAGACCCTGAAACTGTGATTGACATTCCTGGAAAGGGTGTTTCACCTGTCTTTCAAGATAAGGCAAGGCCTATTTCTTCCTGATGGGTTTCTGCTCTAATTAGTTGGTTTATGCTCTTGGCTCTAACTACCAAGTAGACAGCTCAGGGCACAATAATTGAATGGATTGATGAATGAATGAATAAATGAATATCAGGTTCTGACGTGTGTGTGTGTGTGTGTGTGTGTGTGTGTGTAGGCATGCAAAGGACAACTTTGGATATTGTTTATCAGTCTCTGGATACCTTTTTTTGGAGACAATGTCTCTCAGTGGCCTGGAATTTTCCCATTAGGATAATCTGGCTGGTCAGTAAGCCCCAGAGACCTGAGCATCTCTGTCTCTGCATTGTTGGGATTATAAGCATGACACTACACCTGGATTGTTTTATAGGTGTTTGGGGGATTAAACTCAGATCCTCCTGCTTGCATGGCAAGCATTTTACTAACTGATTGAACTTACTAGCCTGGGTTCTGACTTTTAATGAATATTAATCTGGCCAGGTGAGACCAAGAGAGCCCACGTAACAGTATATTTTGCTTCATCCAAACTTCCAAGGTGGGCTGAATATCAAAACATTATATATCCACAGTGGCCAACAGAAGCCTGGCCTGGGACAGAAGTTTTCCTGTGAGCAACCCTCTCAGTAGTAAATCCTCAGAACAATAGTGTTGAAGAGAGACGTCATGCCAGAACTTTTCTGTCTCTGAGCAGGGGGAACAGAAGCCAGGAGTGTAACAAAGGCAAGCTTTATCCCTTTCAAAGGAGGGAAAGGCCTTCCCAGTGAAGTCACTGCCCATTCCCTTCCCAAACACTCTCTTTGCCTCATCTTGAGAAATCACTGTTCCACGAATCATGCTAATTATATTGACTTACACACTGGGTAACTCAGCCGCAGATTCCATCTGCTTCTCCTTCTCTTTACCTGCGGCTCCAGGTTCCAGGAGGGAGGCAGGTGTCACAGCTGCTTCTCTGGAAGGAGTGGAAGAAGCAGCTGCCCCTGGGTGCCCAGGCCGCACTTTTCTGAAAGACCTGCTATGGGCAGACAGAGGATCCCTGCTCTCCTCTGGAGTCTGTCCCCATCTCAACTGAGGATGCCAATTTCAATGCTTTAAACCCTTTTCTGGACCCATGCACTCTGGAGTTCCTGTGTATATGGACTTGTCTGGCTGTAGGAACAAACTATTGTAGCTTGTGACTGTTAAGGGAAATGGAGGGAATGTGGTGACCACACTTCAGCCTCACTGCAACCTTGAGGTTCCCCCTGCCTGTGTGTGTGCATGTGTGTATAGTGTATGCAGGTACATGTGTGTGATGTATATGTACTCATGCATGGAGGTTGGTGGTCAACCTTGGGTCTCATTCCTCAGGAAGGAGCTGTCTACTTTATTTTTTTGAGACAGGGTCTCTCAGTGAACATGAAGCTAACCAATTAGGCTATACTGGCTGATCAGTGAGCTCCAGGGTTCCTCTTGTTTCCATCTTCCCTGGGATTATAAGCATGAGCCACAGGCCTGGCTTTTTATGTGGGTACTGGAATTGAAATCTGATTTCCTTGCTTGTGTGGACCGAGCCCCCTCTGTACTTCTTTGTAGAAAAAAATATAAACCTGTAAATCTTTTCCAGGGTGGAACAGTAGAAATGTCTGATTTTTCCCAGGGTTCATTGCTTTAGGATACTGGAAACCTTCATGGATTCATTAAACAGTTTCAGGTAGACCTTAAACCAAGCCCTGATCTAGGGTCTGGGGATACTAGGGAAATAAAAATAAAAATCCTTCTGCTTGGAGCATGTTGGTTCAGTTACTAACACTGGGGCTTTCTGACTGACAAAGTTCATAACATACTAGATCTTGGCAATTCAGAGAAAAAGGAAAATCCAAGGACTTTATCCAGGGTTACACTGCTAGGATGTGCCAGGGCTGAAGTTCAAATGTACAATTTCTAATTGGAGATTGTGTCTTTTCAGCTATCCCACAGTGCCCCGACCTCTGTCCTGATCACAGGGGAGTGAACATAGGAAAAAGAGTAGGTGAACCTTTGGCACATGAACATGCTGTTGTGACCATCACTGTCTCTGCCTTCACTGTACCTGGGATTTTTGAATGACTCTCACACTTCTCTCATCATTCAAGAATGAATCAATGAAACAATCAAGCACTGGATTGGGAACTGGTGTAGTCCTGGGGTGAGAATACAATAATAAACAAGGTAGAGACAGATCTAGTCCTCACAAGTTGCTATTCCAGTGGGTGGAGATGGCATTTAGCAAGTGACCACATATATAGCTAATTACAGAAGGCTATGAGCACTGGCTCAAAATAAATGGAGGAAAGAGTCATTGGATATGGTCCTTTAAAATCATGTGGTCCAGGAAGGCCTGATCCAGGAGGTGGTGTCAGGACATGAAACAGTTGAAGGCGTTCTCTGTAAGTAGAGTTGCCATGGAGAGAACACTCATGAAACCCAGTGCTCTGAGAGTCCTAGAATGCTCATGGGCTTGGTGATTGAGGGATGGAAGGGTCAGTGTGGCTGAAGGGTAATATTGTCCAGAGTGAAGAATCTGGGAACAGGCCAGGCGGTTAGGGCTGAATCTCACCGGGTCCCATGAGCCACACTAAGGAATCAAAACTCATCTCTGGGAACACTGAGATTCTATGTATCTCTGCTTTCCAACTGGAATATAATGTGTGCCATGTGTGACACTTTAAACTTCCTAATAGCCATGTGTGCAGAAAACATAAAGAAACAGATGAAATAATTATAATGAATTTTTATTTAACCCAGTATCACCGAAGTATCCTCATATCCAGCTATACTTGATGTAAGACTCAGGGGGATGTTTCCTAGTTTTTTCTAATGCTGCTGCTTTGGAATGTCTCATCCTTGCAGTACACCTCCATGAAGATCAGCCATAGTGCAATGTTCAGTGGCTTCTCGTGACTAGGGGCTACAGTATTAGACAGGGCAGTTATAGAGCATTTTAAGTAGGGATTTACTGCAAACACAAGAAACCCATGAGGAACTAATAGTAAACCAACTGGTAACTAACATTCCTTCATTATCACTTGGAGAAATTGTGGGCCCGGGAAGTCAGTTATTGATTGGTCTCCCATGGTCTGTGATGGACCTGTACTGGGAAGGGCAAGTGATTTCTCCAAAGTCATAAAGGTAGAGGGGGACAAAACCAAGACTTGAATCCAGAGCTCTTGGTTTCATGCCAGACATAAATCCCTACCAGTCAGGACTCATGAGTGCTTTTTTGTTAGTTGTCTCAATGTGTGAACATGAATGATGGCTTTTATTTGGTTGTGATTTTTTTAAAAAACATATTGTATTCATTAAAAACACCTAACACTTAAGGATTAGTAGATATAAATAATCCTCAGACCACATGCTCTATTTTAATTAGTTGTTATAAATATTTATGAGTGACACACTATAGCTTAATTTGTGTTAATTTAAACCAGCA